GCCACACGAACAGGTTTCCTGCCTCATCTAGGCAGGCCAACTGCGGGGAGTTGACGTGTGCGAAGGCCAGGTCAGCCACACTGCCTGTGAAGCCCTTGAGCAGGGTCCGCTCCGAAGTGCTGACACTGATCACCCGCACCATCGCTGAGCCATTGTTGGCAGCTGGAATCAGGACAGGGGTTGGCCATAAGTGAGTGTCTAGGCCCAGGCAGCAGCAGAGAAGCTCTGCCCTTGCCCGCCTCAGTGTTACCACCAATCTCAAGCTTGGTTTTCCCACTTGGCTCCCCAAGGCCTGGCAGAGACAAGACTTCCATTGTATCCCTAACATCTGAGTGGGCTGAGTGGCCTTACACTGAATCTGCATCTCTGGAGCTTCCAGCAGAACACCTCCCTCCTCTTCCTTGACCCAACTCACCCCGAATGGCATAGGCCAAGAAGGAGTTGGACACAGCGATCAGGTTGCCATAGTAGTATTTCTGCTCCCAGTCATACTTGGCGACAGGCTGGATTTTCACCTGAGAACCAAGGGTGAGGAAGGTCGTAGAAGCTAAGGGCTGGGGCAGCTTTCCCAGAGCTTAGGTGCTCCCCAGCATCCCTGCGGACAGCAGAGGCTGCATGTGCAAGCCCAGCCACCCAATCACAACTCCTGGGGCCAGATTCCCAGAGACTTGGTAGCCAACCCTGGCTTCCTAAGACTGGGGCATACTACCTGTTAAGGTGGTCCCCATAGGAACTGGCAGCATGAGAGTGGAGAGGAAGAGACTGTGCCCCATCCACCATACATGCCACAACATCCTAGTACCTTGTTGCTCCCCCGTGCCTTGCTCGAGATGCTGGAGTCACTGCTGGCCACAATTTCCACCTCCTTGGCCAAAATCCCAATGCAGGTAGAGCTGTCATCTCCTGAGAGGCAGCTGCGGGGAGGAGTGCACAAGCTTGACTCTTGTTTACCCCAAGTTTCACTAGGCAGGGTTGGAATGTGGAGAGGATACAGCTACCATGGGGAAGGTGTCCAATCCCAGGTGCACAGCTCTGGTCCACTGATCCCCAGACCGGTAGCTCACCTCCCTCCTTGGGAATGTTAAATCAGGCACCTAAACTTTAGATCCAGGCCAAGCCCTTGAGCTTGTCCTCACCCCTCATCCTAGGGCAAGCTCCATGTGGTTAAGTGCTCCAACCCAGGACGTCTAGTGTGGGAGCAGCAGAGGCTGCTAGCCCTTCTCCCCCCCGCCTCTCATGCCTTTAGCTAACAGACACTCCAAAGACACCATCACCACCACTATTATCTCCCAGGTACTCACATGACCTGCTTCTCCTGCAGGTTAATGGATGGCTTGGACCGGAGACCAGGCTTGTTTGCTGAAGTAGCATCCCCTGAGCAGAGGGGGTCTGGGACCAGGAGCCCATTGAGGTCACCATTGTAGGTGTTAGGTGGCCGCTGGCTCTCTGCACTGGGGCCTGAGGACAGGTAGGACCACTATCATGAGGTTGTTTCACCTGCCTACTGGCCTCTCTTCCTGCAGAGCCTCCCTCCAGAACCATCAGGTACTCAGGAACACTCAACTGAGATATGTCTATGGGAAGGAAGGCCCTTTGTTCATCTCTCATTCCATAACACTTAAGGTGAACCCAATGTATACCAGGACCAAGGATGAGCATGAGGCTCTTCTACTTGGGAGCGGGATGCAAGCCATCAAGGATCCTCTAAGGCAGCGGTTCTCAACCTGTGGGTCGCGACCCCTTTGGCGGTTGAACGACCCTTTCACAGGGGTCGCCTAAGACCATCCTGCATATCAGATATTTACATTACGATTCATAACAGTAGCAACATTACAGTTATGAAGTAGCAACGAAAATAATTTTATGGTTGGGTCACAAAATGAGGAACTGTATTTAAAGGGCCAGAAGGTTGAGAACCACTGCTAAGGCCAATTAATACTCAGGCCCGAGTATGTCAACACAGAGGGACTATGTGTGCGTGAGGGAGGACATGGGAAGGGTCAGGACAGATTTCATAGAAGAGTTGCCATCAGAGCCAGTGTAGCTAGAACACACAAACATGGGAAGGATAAAGGGAAAACAAGGCTCCTAAGGAATCAGGTATGAGGGTGAGGTGCTTAGATTCTCCCTGTGGCGATGAGAGCCACAAGAGTTTTTAAAGGGAAGGTGACATGGTCAGCACTGGCCAGAGGGCTCATTGCTCTAAGGCAGTACGTAGAATAGTTGAGAATCTGGGTGAGAGATACCAGGGCCTAGACGGAGGTAGTGGCAGGGGTTGGAGAAGAAAGGATGGGCTCCTAAGGCATGGAAGGGGAGTGATAAGATGTGGAAGTATGGAAGAAAGGAGCCTGCCCCACAGAGAAATGGCTTAGAAGAAGCTACCCTGGGCAAGTAAACTCAGGATGAATGAACATGAAGAGCTGGACAAAGAAGAGAGACACTATGGGGTAGTGTGTTGAGTCAGGAAAGACAGCATTTTAGTTGTTTGCCATTCACTGAGTTTCAAGCACCCTCCTAGACTCTGACACCACTCCAAAACTCCCAGGTGGCAAGGAGACTAGGGTTCCACATTCTGGATCACATCAAGTTTCTAGGCACAAAAAAGTCTGGGGTCTGATATGGTCCTCCAATGAGAGGAGACAAGCCAGAGCTCCTTGGCAAACAGGAGAATCAAGCATCAATCAATAAACAAGGAGTTCAGAAAAAAAGTCTCCAGGCCACTTCACTTGGATCAGAGCCACTTGAGCTGCTCAGGGGTAAGCTGACCACTCTCCCTCCCAAAAAGGCTATCATGAGGACAAACAAACTGCACAAGATTGGCCATGCCAGGCTCTACCAAACCTGCGTGGAGTTTAGTCTACCTAGCAGCTGAGGAGCATGAAAGGCCCAAGCCAAGCTCATGAGTAAAGGGAGCACACTCCAGGCCTGGTGCAAAGGGCTCAGTGGTTCCAGGCAGCAGATGGATTTTCTCAGGAAATAGGGGGTAGTTAACCCCACCCAGCGTGAGCACCAGTGCCTGCTGCAGTAGCAGCCAGTCTGGGCCTCCCAGCAGGTTTAAGAACAGGGTCTGAGGGCCCTCGCTGGTTTGGCTCAGTGGATAGAGCATCCGCCTGTGGACTGAATGGTCCCTGGTTCGATTCCGGTCAAAGGCACATGTTCAGGTTGCAGGCTCAATCCCCAGTAGGGGATGTGCAGGAAGCAGCCCATCAATGACTCTCTCTCATCTTTGATGTTTCTATCTCTCTCTCTGAAATCAATTTAAATAAATAAATAATAATAATCATAATAATAATAAAGAACAGGGTCTGAGGAAACACCAGTTCTCAACTCTGGACACTGCACACCTAAACCACCATCAACAGCTGGTCTTTCAACCACTACAACTTCACAGGTCGCTGAACCTGCCAGGAAACTTCGGTACCTTCACACATGCTGTTTCCTTTTTTGTGAATGCCTTCCTGACTACTAAACTGTTCATACTACAAAACCTAAACATTGTCTCCTTTCTCAGACCTGTTCTCAGGCACTCTCCGGTCCCTACCCCACCCACCCTGTACCCATCAACATACCCAAACACTCCTCTCTTTCAACAGCATTATGTTACACCTTCCTTAGACCCCCGAGGGCAAAAGCAGCTCTGAAGTATCACTGCAAGCCCAAATAAAGTTTAAAAGAAAGGAAAGGAACCAGGGCTTGCGGATGTTTGTAGCCTAATTCAATCAGAGCCATGCAGTCTGTGATTTGCCTTAATCCCAGAGAGGACACAGAATTGGGAGCGGCCACTTTTCCTCCAGAAAAGTTTCAGAGAGCATGCCTAAAGTCTCTATTTTAGAGGAAAGGGCAAGTTGCAGAGGGGATCCACAGCTCCGCAGCACAGCGCCCAGGTCTCGACACAGAACTCAGCGTACAGAGCACGGACTAGGCCTCAGAACTACGGCAAAAGGGTTGGGCACTCAGATCAGTACCAGCAACACTAGAGGCTTTGGGGCCAGGAAACCAAGGGGGCCCCGCGGCTTAAGAGAAGGAGCTTCACCTCACCTTCAGCCGAGACGCTGAAGGACGAGGCAAAAGGGCCCGGCGCTGGGGTGGGGAGGGATCGCCCCGGGGTCTGCGCCCTTCTGGGAACATGCTTAGGAGTTTACCGCTCTAACCATCGTCTGCCCTCAACCAGCCGGGAGGGTGCAGAGCCGGTCCGGAGGGGCCTGCAGGCCCTGAGGGCGAGCCTGGCTCGAGCCGCCCCTCTGCCCCTCGGCGAGGGCCCACCCCCGCTGTCTTGGCTCACCTCCCGCGGGCCGGTCCAGCTTGAGAATGTCCCGTAGGTGCTGCGTGGCGTCCTCTATGTCGATGCTCGCGCAGGAGGCCATAGGCCCAGCCACAAGCGCCCTGTACGCGCCGCGTTCGTTTCGCTGCCGCCACGCACCAGCCGAACACAGTCGCGCAGGGACCAGATGCGGAACGCCGGTCACTACAATGGGTCCACCCGCACAAACCGCGGCCCGCACCAAGCCCCTGAAACCCTCCAATCCCACCAACCGCCTCCACTTCCGGCCCGCCGAGCCTCGGCTCCCGGAATCTGCACGGACTGGAGAAGAAAGGTTCCGGGCTGAGAGCGGACGCCTCACTCCTTCAGAAGCCGTCTCCCTCCGCTATCCCCCACAAGTGCCAGCGGGGGCCAGAGTTTTTCGCAGGGTTGAGGCAGAAGCCCTACTAGCCTCAGAATATCCCGCCGGGTCCATGCCCACTCCCAAGGCATGGACTCATGATGGGCCTAGGACCGGGTCAACTCTGCCACTCAGGCTGTAGTCAGACCTCTCCAACAAGAAGCTGAATTAGCTGGGGCCTCGCTTTCCTCTTTAGGAAATGAGGGGACCCAGGATGTCAAAAGGTCCAGGAATTGCAAGATCAGGATAGCCCCACCAAAAACATCACATTGTTCCCTAATAGCCCTCCAGCACCCCATTGCCCAACCTAGTACCCTCAGGCAGGAAGAAAGAAACCAGTTTACAAAGACCTCTTTATTGCAGACATTTCAGGCACAGGTACATGGAATAAGCTGTATTGCAGATTTTATACAAGGTGGTTTAAGAGGCAAGCACCTACCTCTCCCCCACCCCTCAAATACATAGCCTAGATACGAGTTCCACTGAAATCTCCTGATACTCTCCTCTCAAACAGCACACCATCCAGTTTGTGCCCAGTATAGCCAGGCAACATCTGGGCATCTGGATAAGTCCTTGGCCTCCATTCAGTAAAGGGAAAGTAAGGGAAAGGGGGGGGGGGGGGGTACATGTCAGGCATAGCTGTGGTGCCCTCACCAATCCTAAAACCCCTAACAGGGCACCAGCCCAAGTCCTGGGTTTGGTTCTAGCCTGTGATTGCTACCTTGCCACCAGGTCTCAGGGCTAGATTTGCCATGGGCAAGGCGCCTTTGTCTCCAAAACTGAGGAGCATAATCTGCCCCAATAGCTAAGGGATTTGAAGACAGTGAGAAGCTGTGTGTGAGGAAGGGAATAGGCCTAAAGATGCCTTGCAGAAAGGTCTGAAAGGTGAGAAATCCTAGAGCACAAATCCCTCACTCAGATTGCCTTCTTTCATAGCTCTAAGTCTATACTTCAACCAACCAGGCCTGTATCTATAGGCACTTGCCTTTGAGCAATGTGGTACACGATCTGAACTGTACCACATTGCTCGAAGCAGGTAGTATAGGATTTGAACTGCCCTGTTCTTGGCTTGGGGACACCCTGTGTGATCCTAACCCTTCTGGGGATAAAATAGGCCCCTCTCCCTCAAACTTTTGCTCAGAGGGTCTGAACCTGATGGGCCATTTTTGCCAAGGCGTCTCCATGTTGTAGGATTCTGAGTCACCTGTCCTGTTACTAGAGCCCTGACCCTAACCAGTGTAGAGGTCACAGGAGGTATCAGAACTGACTGCAGAGGCTTCAGTGCAAGGGAAACTTCAGGCCAGGCGTGAGCTCTCCCTGTCTGCAGCTCACTGTCCCAAGACCAGGTGGGTTGTTGGGAAGGGCAACACTATGCCCTGGGCTTCTGACAGAAACTAGCTGGGGATGCTGCTTCAGCAGTTTTCTCCTTGCAGTAGGTATTGCTAAGTTGGGGTAGAGACGTGAGAGTGAGACATGAGACAGCCAATGGGGCAGGGTAGTTATAGATGCCCAGCCAACTATTAAACTAATTAAAACAATTTGAACTGTTAAGAAAATTTTTGTGGTTTTATTGTATCATGAGGCATTGAAACATCTGAACAAATCAATATCTGGACGGTGAGGCAGCTGCTTTCTCCTTCACTTCTTTGGGTTACTAGAGCAACTTGTTAGTAGATTTAAAAAAAAAAAAAAAAAAGACAACCTTTTGCATTACTTAAGTCTTTCCAAGGCATGCGCTGGTACAACACAAACTTCTCCTGTCAGATGTAACTAGTCTAGCGTCCAAACATCATGCACAATACCTAGGTAGCAGCAGCGCACTGCGCCCACTCCCACCTCGGTCCTGCTCATTTGTGTATGATATTTGGAGCATCTGGAGGAGTGTGAATAGTATCTGGAAGAGGAGGGAGGAGGAAACAGCATGAGTGCCTGGCTGGGAGGAGGTCAGCCGAAGTTGTGCAGGGCAAGCCTGAACATGTCATTGGTGCAAACCCAAGCATCGTTGATGTTCTTCAATAGGAACATCTGGTGGAACCCCATGATGGGGTCTTCATCGGCCTGTAAGGAGAGATAAATAATTCAGTAAGGGGGCCATGTAGAGACAAGGAATACTCGCGAATGAGAATTGCTTCAATGTATGAAACACTGCACTGAACACATAAAGGCTTATATATGGCAGCTCACACTGCTATTTGCACTTAAACTGCAGAACAATTCACCAATTAGCTACTGCAAAAGTACAGAGAACACACTTGCCTCTAAGCCCATGACTCTGGGCACAAGTGACCAACCTGAAAGACTTATACAGCGCTCACCTCCTAAATTTATATTATCTATAAACTAAACACTCTTAGTGCCAAGAGGTATAGGGGCAAGAGGGATAGGAGCAGGATGAGGCTGTGGTGCCAAGCCACTGGGCCTTCATACTACCCCTTCATGAACGGATTGCATTAGTTAATCCAATCAGGAGAAGCAACTGCTAATGATGACTGTGGCCACATACATGAGAAAAGGTTCAAAACTGAGTTCACACTGCTATGATCACAGCTCTTTAGGGGAAAAACACAAAGCACCGCCATCAGTGATCTGTTGAAAACAGAAAAGAGACCTCCAGCTAAACTGCAGACCAGGATGAGGTAGGAGCTCAGCTAATTACTAATCAGTGCTGTCTCTAACATCACTGGTTTTTCTGGGAATTATCCGCAAGGAAGCAAATCAGTCTTTTGATGGCTTAGAGATGGACAGAAACAGAAGAACCTGAAACCATGTAGGAAAGGGCACTGCTTACGGAGCCCAGCCTGGGAAAGTGGACACTGGGCCGCCTGGACCTCCTAAGGCAGTGGTTCTCAACCTTCCTAATGCCGCGACCCTTTAATACAGTTCCTCATGTTGTGGTGACCCCCAATTTCATTGTTACAAATTGAACATAATTAAAGCATAGTGATTAATCACAAAAACAATATGTAATTATATATGTGTTTTCCGATGGTCTTAGGCGACCCCTGTGAAAGGGTCGTTCGACCCCCAAAAAGGTCGCAACCCACAGGTTGAGAACCGCTGTCCTAAGGGTCTGTTTTTTATAAATATATTTTTAGTGACTTTTATATATTTTAAAAATATTTTTTATTGATTTTTTTTTTTTTTACAGAAAGGGAGAGGGATACATCCCCTACTGGGTACATGCTCTAGACCGGAATCGAACCTGGGACCCTTCAGTCTGCAGGCTTACGCTCTATCCACTGAGCCAAACTGGTTAGGGCAACTTTTATTTTTTGAGAGAGAGCCGGAAGGTACAGGGAGAGATAAAAACATCAGTAAGAGATCAACTGCCTCCTGCACGCCCCCTACTGGGGATCAAGCCTGCAACCTGGGTATGTACCCTGACCTGGAATCAAACCCCGTGACCTCTTGGTGCACAGGATGTCGCTCAACTAACTGAGCCACACCAGCTGGGCCCAAGGACCTATTTGAGCATAGAGTCTGGGCAGGGCATCTTGGACAGGCAGGAAAAACTGATGGGGAAGTCCAGACCAGAAGTCAGGTGAGTCCACCGCAGAGCCTTGGGAACCCCTCCCTCAACCCTTGTATAGACACTCTGGCTAGCTTAGGGAGAGGGACTGTTATTCTGAGCCGCATCATGACATAGTCCTAGGACACTGGGACTTTGTCAAGGTTGTTCCGCTTTGGGAAGGAAGAGAGGCTTTTTAGAAACCAAGAATCTGGCTTCAGTTTGCTCAAGCACAAGAGGTAGGAGATTCTGGGAGAGTTCTTGGGGTGGAGGTGCTGAGGGGCCACAGGAAGATTTTGAAGATGACAGTCTTAAGGAGAAGGGGAAAATGTAGAGATGCAGGAGTTTCCAAAACCTGCTTTGCTCAGCAGGTAGAGGAGTCAGCAGCCAGCTCTGGGAGTGGCAGCATGGACTCCAATAGGGGACTGCTACTTGGCACCCAGCTTGCCGGTCCAGGGTCTATTGCCTACAGAAGGCCCACCTACACCTTGGGGTAATATGAAGGCCCAGTGGATTGGCACCACAGCCTCATCCTGCTCCTATACCTCTTGTCCCTTTTCCAAAAAGGCTCTAAATCAGTGCTGTCCACTAGAACTTTCTGCAATAACAGAAATGTTCTATGTCTGTTGTCCAATAGGCAGCCATAGTGACTGAGTACTTGAAATATGGCTAGTGTAACTGAGGAACTACATCTTATTTAATGTAATTAATTAATTAATGTAATTTTAAAATGACCACATGTGGCCCTGGCTGGTGTAGCTCAGTTGGTTGGGCATCCTTCTTGTACCGAAAGGTTGATGGTTCAATTTCCTGTCAGGGCATGTGCTTTGGTTGTGGGGAACATGGGGGGGGGGGGGGGGGGGGAGATCAAAGTTTTGCTCTCACATAAATCTCTCTCTCTCCTCCCCCTTTCTCTCTTTCTAAAAATCAATAAAATGTCTTTAAATTAAAAAAAAATTACCACACGTGGCTGGTTGCTGTTATATTGAACAGCACAACTCTAGACAGTCACTCTGTCTGGGTGTCCCTTGATAAGCAGATCACATCACAGGGAAGGCAGGAGCGGGGGAATCTCCTCTGCCCGCCCACTTCTCCCTAGCAGCACTGTTACCTTAAGCTGGCCCACAACCATGCTGAGGATGCAGCTATCTGGCGTGGGCTGGTGGTCCTGTGCCGTGATGCTGTGCTGGATTTTCTGGAACGGAAGGCTCTGCAAGAGAAAGGGTGGGTAGTGAGCTGGGGCCAGCAGGGAAGGAGATGCCTGCAGCCAGCCCCACCCTGGCTCTTACTTACAGACAACTTCTCCACAATGGCAGCTTTCCCCTGGAATTGCTGTCCTTCCCACGTAAGGCATGATGCGTCAATCTGAAAACCAGAAAACCTGAGGTCAGGGTCTCAGAGCACCAAAAGTATCTCTGAGGTCCTGAAAAGACCCTAAAAGTAAATCTTTTTGGGGGAATGAGTTCACGCCTCAGTTTCCCTGCCTGTAACAAAGGAAACTGAGGATAGCTTCTAAACTTTACACTACTACTAACTTTAATTATACCCCATCATCCCAGAGCTCAGGCTCTAAAAACTAACAAAATATAAACTTATTAAACTAGCCCATTTTGAGGTTTTTATTCAAGTCATTTGACCTCTTATATACATGAACCCCAGGTTAACCATATATGGACAAAGCTCAGCCAAAAGCCATCCTACTGTGCGGTCAATCAGCACCAGTCCCAGAGAAATCATAAAAAATAATTTGAAAACATTTTATGTTTATCACCATCTATAGAGCTTAGGCTGAGTTCCACTGAGGCCCTTTCCATGGGAGCTCCCACGTGGTCAAGGAGAGATGGACATTGACAAGGCCTCCCAAGGCAACCCACTAGCTTTGCCCCTCCCTTCCAGATCTTCCCTGCCACTGCCTTCAGGGGCAGAACTCAAAATGCCTTTGCTATTTACCAGCTGTGACATTACACAAGTTACTTATTTTTCCAAGTCTCAGTTTCCTGATTTTCAAAGGGGACCATATGCTGAGGATTATATAAAATGACATGCATAAAGTGTACTTTTAGGACTTTGCTAACTCTCTTTTCTGGGTCAGGCATCCTTCAATTGAAGCTAAGAAGTAACGAGGCACCCTGACAAGGTAGCTCAGTTGGTTAGAGGTCATCCCAATACACCAAGGTTGGGAATTTGATCTTTGGTCAAAGTACATACAAGAATAAACCAATGAACAACAACCAAAAAAAAGTAAAAAAAAAAGGAATCAATCAACGAGTACATAAATAAGTGGAACAACAAATCAATATTTATCTCTCTCCCTTCCTCCCGCACTCTCTCAAATCAATAAAGATTATTTAGCCCTAACCTGTTTGGCTCAGTGGATAGAGCCTCAGCCTGCGGACTGAAGGGTCCCAGGTTCGATTCCGGTTAAGGGCATGTACCTTGGTTGCGGGCACATCCCCAGTAGGGGGCATGCAGGAAGCAGCTGATTGATGTTTCTCTCTCATCGATGTTTCTAGCTCTCTATCTCTCTCCCTTCCTCTCTATAAAAAGTTAATAAAACATATTTAAAAAATAAATAAATAAAGAAGCAACAAGGCAAAGATCCCAAAGTCAAACTAGTTCAAGCTTTTTATTTAAATTCTTGATCTATGATGATGACAATCAAATAATACTTGTGCTGGATTTGGTCCTCCACTGGTGAGAGCCCTTTCTTTTCTCCAAAATTTCTGAATGAACCCTGACTCTTTGGAGGGAAAGACAGGAGTCTGCCACAGTCCAGTCAGGCTCTGAGGCTATGCTGGATGACTCCTATCACTCTTATCCTGGGCAGACCTGCTAGGCAAGGCCTGATCAATCATATTTCTTTGACCAAGTCTTGGGAAGGTCAAATACAAGTAGCTCTTGGTATATGTGATCTCCATTAAAATAGCAGCAAACAATGCCTGCGCAGAAGGGTTTCTCAAAGGACATACTAGTCTCTCTGGGTTAACCCATTTGTTTCCCACGAGCATTCAGGCACTTTTGGTCTCCAAAAGGAAGCCAGACCTGGGGCCTCCAGAACACAGCTTTGCACTGACGACGCTCATGGCTGCTACTTCCAGAAGGCACCGTGAGCCCTAGCCTCTGTCTGCTGCCACCTGCTCTAGAACACTGGCACTTCCAGAACCATGGATGGCCAGCCTAGAACACCCTGCCCAGGGTACCAGAATGCTTACTTTGTGGAACATGACAGAAGGGAATGTGTAAACCAGGTAGCTGGACCAGACTTCAGGCCCATGTCCCATGGGGAGCTCAGAAGGGTGCAGCCAAATCCAATGAGGGCTTCCAGAATTTGTGACCTGGACAAAGTGGCCAAACACACCTGAACTAATCCCCTGGGGTCACCTTTCTAGAGCTGAGACTTACGTAAATTGCACCTAGTTGGGTTCTGTCGTTATCAAATAACTGGTAGTAATGTTGAATGAAGCTGGATCCAATCTGCTCCCAAATTGGCTTGTCTCCCATTCTGGAGCGTCACCCAGCCTCGTTGAAACCTGCAAGACCAGCAAGACAGGGAGGAAAGCGTTGGTACTGCCGGACCAGGATGTAGCCAGCTGCTGTCTCTTCACTGACCCCCAACCCTCCCTGGCCTCCTCGAGCAAGACATCCTTTGCTGATTTGTTCACACAGGGAACATGGAGAGGCCCCAGCGAACTAGTAGGAGACCTCTCCCAGTACAGACCAGTGTTGGGAGCCCAGAGGTGGACCAGACTCAGCCTCTCCTTTGTGGAGCTCTGGTTGATGAGACAGAGAGGTGCCAGGGTCGTGGAGCACCCGGGATGGGTACTGAAGGGGGAGCCAGGACAAAGGAAGGTCAGAACAGGTACTTCAATGCCCAATAAGGGGATGGATCTTTAGGGAGGAGCTAAGCAGTCTCCCCATAGCTTTTCATTTAATCCTCTCAACAACCTGCAAGGCAAAAGTTAGTGCTCTTCTTCCCACTTTGCAGGCCAGCAACTATAGATTTCTGTGTGAAAAGTGTCTTCTAGTACAGCCCTCAGGTTCCCTCCTTGTCCTGCTGGGACTCAGCCCTCGGTGCCTGAACATTGCCCCAGTGCTTTACTGGCAGGTGGAGGAAGACCCAGTGAGATGGAAGGAAGATGGCTCTTCAAGGCCCCACTTGCTACAAAAACAGCAAAAGACTCGCCTTAGTCTTAAAGGGGGCAATTTACATCTTCGAGGCCAGGTAATGCCTGGCCCTTTCTGGGGCATTTCTTCATTGATGGGGGTGACCCCTGCCTACTTCAGAGATAGGGACGAGTTCAGGGGAGCACAAAGTAATAGATGAGGGATGTGGGGAGGGGAAATGGAAGCTATGTGGGGGAAACATTTCATCTCTTCAAATCTCCCATCCCTCAGCACTCCCTCCGTTAGGAAGGGGCTGTCCCTCTCTAATTTCTGAGGGGAAGAGGAAGCACCCTCCCAGCTATAGACACCACGCCTCCAGGGTGTTAGATGAGAGAATCACTCTGGCTTTGTTAGGCCCCTCCTGGGTAAGGAGGTCCACATCTCACGGCAGGATCCCATGACAGCAGACCCATGTGTTGTTCCATAGTGGTCTGATTTTAGAGGAGCCAGCCCCTCTCTCCTGATAACACGACTCTAAACCAAAGCAGTGAGAAGGTGGGTTCAACCCTGGCAGACAACCATTAATAGTGGTAGGAGGTGATGCAAGTCACTACCTTTCTTAGGGCCTTAGCCTCTTCCTCCTCCTCCTCCAATAAAATGAAGGTGGAACCCAGTGGTTGTGAAGCCTCATTAAAGGAACCTGGTCAAGCCTTCAGCTCAGTGTGGTAAGTGCTAAGTCACTCCAGTCCCTGTGACCTCACCTAAGGCCAAAGGAGCCAGTGAAGAGGGACAGTGTAGAGGGACAGTAGTTTATCCTCAATCCAGCCAATCTTCTAGCCTGTGACCAACACTCCAGCCAATGAGGAGCCAGGAAGCTGAGCCAGCTTTATTTTAGGTCCCCTAGGAGGTGGTGGCACTAAAAATAGCAGCTCAGTGGTGGGATGACTAAGAAATGTCCAGGAAAGTCTAAAAAAAGCAGAGGAGAGAACTTGTACCGGGCCACGCCTGTTACACAGGAACACAAGGTATGTCCCAGTTCACACTCTGCCAAGAAACAAATCAACAAGTAGGAAAAGCGTAGGACCAAGAGCTAGTCTCAGCTGTGTTGTCTTGGTCACATTTCCAAGGGGTACTTACACACAAACTGGGGATTACTTGAGGCAAGGCACAGCCCTCCATATCTCTGCCCCTTCTATCCTAGTATTCACTGTGCTTAGCTCACTCACTGCAGCCCAACCCCACTACACCTTACCCGCGAGATGACATCCCCAGCCCCTGAGAGCTCTGGGGCAGCGGGATAGGTGAAGGAATGGATGAGGGCCATCTCTCCTGCCCTTAGCAAGGCTGGTCAGCCCTAAGGGAAGGTCTCGGAGAAAGAATATGCTAATCAGAATAAACAGCATAAGCAAATGTCTGGGGAAAGGAAAAGAGATAAGGGCAGGAAACTGGGAAGGCAGAGATGGAAGGTGAGAAGAAGGTTAGAAGATGATCCAAAGACAAAAAAAGTGCTGACATTGTGGGTCAGTGAGGCAGAGGAAGTGTGTCAGTGTTTTTTTCTCTTCTCAATATTGTTCTTAGTGATGTGATAATTTGCTATACAAAAACTACTTGGCACAAGTAGTGGTGGAGTGAAGAGGGTGGAGTAAAGGGACAGAAGAGTCCTTCGGTCTGGTGGGGCAAGGCAAGAAAGAGGGAACTCTCCTGAGGAACAAGACAGCTCAGGGTTTTCCAGAAAGTGTTAGAAGAAACCTTCAAAACTATGTGGATTGAGGCCTTTGCTTTAAAAATGGCAAGCAGGGCCCTAGCTGGTTTGCATCAGTGGATAGAGTGTCGGCCTACAGACTGAAGGGTCCTGGGTTCGATTCCAGTCAAGGGCGCATGCCCAGGCTGCAGGCTCAGTCCCCGGTGGGGGGGGGTGTGCAGGAGGCAGCTGATCAATGATTCTCTCTCATCATTGATGTTTCTATATATATCTCTCTTCCTCTCTGAAATCAATAAAAATATGTTTTTAAAAAATGGCAAGCAGGGCTCCTGATGCCAATACCAATGTCATTCAAGGTCTGCTTGACCATGACTTATTTATTTCCATGTAATGGCCACAATAGCCATGTGGTCAGAGTTCACTGTCAATTGGCTTAACAGGTCAGAAAACAGGTTCATTGATGTGTGGAGTCCTGTTCCAAGTTCATCCAGTACAACTGTGCTGACACTGGGTCCTCTGGTCAAGGCTAATGCTTTTATAAAAATACATATTTTTATTGATTTCAGAGAGAAAGGGAGGGGGAGAGAGATAGAAACATCAATGATGAGAGAGAACCATTGATCAGCCGCCCCTTGCACACCCACAAGCTTGGCATATCCCCGACTAGGAATCGAACCAGTGACCTCTCGATTCCTGGGTCTAAGCTCAACCACTGAGCCACACCCAGCTGGGCAAGGTCAGTGCCTTTCTTTCTGCTCCTTTGCATCCTGAGCTCTAAACAACAAAGCTGGCCATGTCCCTCCCCTATAGCACCACCCTAGCCTTTGAATTAAAGGCTAAACCCCCAAGCAACACAGGTGGCCAGCCACACCTGTCTTTGCCTCTCCAACCATTCTTTCCTACCTCAATCCAGCTCCACACACAAATACACCAGAACTCACCAAGTGCCTGCCCATCATGTTGTCTTCCCTCCCCTCATCTGCCTGGTCAGTCTCTGCTCTTCCTTAAAGTCACTATTCAGATCTCCACATATTTAGGGACAGACTCCTTCCCAGACTCCAATGTTGAGCTCCAACTCCATGGGCAAACCCATGGCAACACACCGAGGACAGCTCAGGGTTTTCCAGAAAGTGTGAGAAGAAACCTTCAAAGCTATGTGGAGCCCAGCCAGTGTTGCTCAGTGGTTGAGTGTCGACCAATGAACCAGCAGGTCATGGGTTCGATTCCCAGTCAGGGCACACGACCAAGTTTCAGCCTCGATCCCCAATGTGGGACTTGTAGAAAGCAGCCAATCAATAATTCTCTTTCATCATTGATGTTTCTATCTCCCTCTCCCTCTCACTTCCTCTCTAAAATCAATAAAAATATATTATAGCCCTAGCCAGTTTGGCTCAGTGGACAGAGCATCGGCCTACGGACTGAAGGATCCCAGGTTCAATTCCGGCTAAGGGCACATGCCTGGGTTGCGGGCTTGATCCCCAGTAGGGGGTGTACAGGAGGCAGCCAATCAATGATTCTCTCTCATCACTGATGTTTCTATCTCTCTCTTCCTCTCTCTTACTCTCTGAAATCAATAAAGAAATATATTTTTAAAAAATGTTAATATATCTATCTATCTATCTATCTATCTAGATAGATAATTATTTAAAAAAACACAATTATGTGGATTGAGGCCTTTGATTTAAAAATGCCAAGCAGGCTCCTGAGCTAAACACTCCTCCACCTAAATACTAGGCTGTGAGGGTTCCAGAAAGGTTCTTACTGCACCCCCAACCTCCCTATACAGAGCATGGCCCAGCAAATTACAGGACTTATAGTTTCTGATTCTAAACCTCCCACAAAGTTTTCAACTCACGGCCAGGAGACAGCATTCCTAAACCCAGAAAAAGAAGCAGGGCGCAGAGCTTCCCTCCCATCTCCATGAAACACAGGGGAGGGGTCTGGGCCAGGCAGGGAGGATGTTCGCCAGGATGGTCAGTAAGCCCTAAACCTTGTTTCTAATACAGTTATTGAAGAAAGAACAGCCTGGAAAGAAACAAAATGCCAAGGCCTAGAGGCAGCCTCACATCAGATAGGGACTGACCTTCATGACGGCTTCTCCTACAGCTCTTTCAAGAGGGCCGCTGACCACGCCAATAGTCCGCAGGCTGACCGAGGCCAGGCTCCTCAAGGAACAGAAATGACCTCAATGACCTCTTGCCCACTGAGCATCATCCTTCACTGACTGTTAGGTCTCTGTGGGTGCAAAGACCCTCTAAGAATGTCTCAAAAACTGTGACCTCTCCCAATAAATCTGCACAGCGGCAGGATGCCCCAGCCTTCTCAATAATTTCAGGTTGTTTACACTCCCTGAGGTTCAATCATAGACCCCAAGCTAAAACCACTGGCTCAGGGGATCCCTTTAGGCAACAGAAAAACTTCATTTTTATCCTCAAATTCTGAGTCAGTATTTCCAAGGACAAAACTTGAAATAGCAGTGCCCAACTGGTAACATCTCATTTTCACTAATGGGTATTAGGTATAGAAATGTGCTTAGGGCTTTACATGCACTTATCCCTAATACCCTGAGTCAACACCCATGTTAGAGATGAGCAAAATGAGGCTCAATGAGATTAGCTAACTGTAACTTGCTCAAGATCACTAACCTAACAGATGGTAGAACTGGATGGACTCGAGAGGCAGGACTCCCAGCAACAACTGCTCTGAAGATAAAAATGAATAGCA